GCCCCTAAGCCTCCGTTTGACAACATTATTTGTGAAAAATAGAATTTTGAATAGTAACATTTAGAAGAACTAATCAACGTTGAACGTGCGTTGCACGTTATTATGAGATGAAGTTACCATCCTTCCCTCGAGGTAAATTATAACAAAATGAACTTTAAAAGTAAGTTATAAGAGAGTTTCTCTTTCATATTGTAAACCCCGTCGAGATGCCAATAAAACATGAAAAAAAAAAAAGAAGGAAAAGTACAATTTCTTATTGAAAATCCAAGAAAATATACTTAAACATGCACGGGAGAGAGAGGTACAATTTGTAGCGAAAAAGTGGAGAAAATTACCTTCGTAGAAAGAATACCAACTAATAAAAAAATTAAAGGAATGTCTTTCTAAACCCCAGTTTGACGATCATTTTTTTAAAACTCATTTTTTAACACTCATTTACACCTATATTCATACAATAAAATATTATGAATTATACTATAGTGCTAGATTTTTTAACATAAAGTTTGACATAATGCCACGTAGCATTATATCATTGGACTGTTTTAAATACAGTCAGCTTTCCTCTCAAATCATCTTCTACCACCTCAAATTATATCAAAGCATCTATTAAAATTCTCTAGCAAAACCCAAATATTATACACGTAAAACCAAATTTTTTTCCCTATTTTTAACTATACATTCTTCAAAAACTTACTTCAAAACCATGTTTTTCAAAACAACAAAAAAAGGCCACCAAATATTGGCTAATTGTTAATTTTGATTTAAATTTTTAATCAATTTTTAATCTGCATCAAACAGGAGCTCTGTACATTTGAACGGAAGAGTAATACCATTATTTTGATAAAATTCTAGCTTGGCAATTGAAACCAAGGGTAAAAACAAATTTGTCTAATGGAGACCTAAGTGTCACTAGAACGAAAGTTAGGGGATATAAATAATTTCATTTGAAGTTTGGGACCAAGATGCAACACAACTTAGAGTTTGGAACCCCCTGCTACTATTTTTCCCACATATGTACTGCATAGCAAAATGTCTCGTCCCTGAGCCTCTGTTTGACAATCATTATTTAGGGAAAATAGAGTTTTGAATAGTGATTTATAGAAAAATTAGTCAACGTTGAATGTGCGATGTACATCATTATAAAATGCTTTATAACTGCTGTAAAAGTATTATTTGAATAAGCGTGAATGTTAATTAATTTATAATTAATATCAGAGAATATACATATGACAAAAAATGTTAAATCATTTATTTAATTTATAATTAAGTAAAGCTATGTGTTAGTTAGCATATATAACGTGAATAATGAAATGCATTTTGAATATGAAAATGTAATTAACTTATAATTAGAATGAATAAAATTGAAATGAGTAAATGAAGATGAATATTAATTAAAGGGAAAACTATAATCACGGTACCAAATCTTTTATTTTTATTGTAGATTTGATCAAAACCTTTCAGAAACTCACATTTGAAGTACAAATGGATGGAACATGTTAGTTTGACAATTAGTTGATCAAAGAATTAACAATGACAATAATTAGGCACCGTTTGGTAACCATTATTCTAGAAAAAATGTATTCTTTGTGTCAAATCACACCTTAAATGTGATAATGTGTAAAAGTTATGAACCTTTCATGCAATTAAAATGTAGGCACCGTTTGGTAACCATTCTTTTTTTCATTCTCATTCTTCTACTAATT